TAGAAAAGAGAGTTTACCCAAATCAAAGAAATCAATCAAAAAATGAGGCAATCTCAACCTGGCTCCATCTTCCCAGGCAAAGAAATCCTAATCAATGGATGCACCGAATAATATTTCATTTAAATCAAATCATTTCAAGAGAAATTCGACCTTTACTCGAAGTAAACTAAGTAAGATAACTCGTTTTTTTTTTACTAGATAAAAGAGACCAAATTAAGGGCAATATTTGACAAAGGGGTTAGAAAGGTAGCCACAATCAAAGCCCATACAATGACAACAAAGAAAGTCTCGCCTGTCACGACCAAGATTTGTTCACCATAAGTAGATGAAGTCCCATGAGCCAGGATTGAGTTGCATAGAGTTACGCTAAACATTTATGTGCATCATATCAAATTCACATTTAAATAATATTTAGGACATATTGCATATGACAAACATAAAATCATAGAATATAACCTTTTTGAATAGGTTCTTGAAGATTTATTTCATTACTAAAGGTAATGAATCAAATCGTTGGCAAACGTGATTAGATCTCCTCATCCTGAAGGAGCAATGTTATAATCATATTTGACATTGAACAAATCATCCATAAGCGATTATATCTCCTCAACATGAAGGAGAAATGTCATATGCAAAGATAAATTATATACAGGGAATTTGACGTCCCCATTGTGAAGGAACAACATTACTTTCAGATTCACTATCATCCAATCGCGAAAAGACGTACTCAACGTGAAGGAACCATGTCCTAATTTTAAGATTCAAAATGAACATCAAAGTAGAACAAAATTTGTGTCTTTGCCCTATTCCCGTCGTACGACAATCGGAAAGGAGGAGCAGTTGTATACACTAAATTTTGTCTAGAATATTTTATTTTTATTTTTTCACTTACCAATTATTTATGGTTTTAATTATAGTTATTTATAGTCTTATCATTGTTAATGTCATAATTACATTTAATTAAATATATATGTTTAGGAGTCATTTATGTTTATTATAATATATATGATTTGGTTTGTTAATCAAAATTATTGATATAGATAAAGTTTCAGTAGTAAATGGTTATTATGAAATATATATATATAATGCTAAATTGGAATGAATACTAACATTTATTTACATATATTGGAATGCTCAAATATATTACAAAATTATCCAATACAACCCAAATATAAAGAACAAGGAACCCAGACCCGTTGAAGTAGCCCGTCGATCCATATCCAACAAGCATTACCAACCAATTGGCCCATAAGGAGCCCAAACATGACCCAAATGCAAGAGTCCAAATAGCTAGGGTTTTCACCTTAACACTTAGCACCACCCATCATCAGTTGTTGGATATATATGAGATCCAACGGTCCACATGCATCAGCAACTAAGGTTTTTGTAACCATTTTCAGTGCTGCAACACCAGAGCTGCGCAATCTGGACCCATCCAATGGTCCAAATCAGAGATACAAAGCTAGTGTTAGAGAAACCTTAGCCTCCCTCTCCAACAAAAAAGATCAATCATCGAATCTGACCAATGATTGATGCACGTGCATGCTCTCAACTCCCTGATGCGATGTTTGGGATCTCTATAGCCACCACACGCCCTGATCTTTACCACAATGTGTTTATTGCTTTCTCCATGCCACGTAAAGTTTACCTGATGCCACCATGGGCTCCTATGAGCCCTCATGTCCCCTCTATCCCTGTCAAGGAAGAGGGTGGAGCCTCTTTTGCACAAGAGAGTAGATGAAGGATGAGAGAAGGCATAGGAGCCTTCAATAAAGCCCTGCTAGAATCATCAATGGGCAAAGGTCTCACCTTTTATCCCTTCTCACAACATGCAACAAGAAAAAAATGAATTAGAAGAGGTTTTTTAGCTGGAGAATAAAAAGAGATGAGTGATATAAAACCAAAAAAAACCCAACAATTTTGGGGGATTTTCTTTGGAACAAAAAAAAGAAAAACAGAGAGAGAAAAAGAAAAAAGGCTTACCTTTTGAGAAAAACACTGTCGTTGTTGCTTCACCAAATTCAAAATGGGCTTTTCAAGTAAATGAAGGTAATCTCTTTACCATTTGGATGTTGTTCTTGGGCGAGAGTAGAAGAGTTTCAAAGGAGAGACATTTTTTGGGTTCATAAATTTTTGTTTACAGTTCTAAAGGTTCCAAAGGTTTAGTTTTTAGGGATTTCGAAGGGTCAAGGGAGAAAAATGAGGAGTTTTTTGGTGGTTTGTCTTCCTCGGTGGGAGAAGATGAGAAGAGGGAGAGTTAAGAGCTTTTGGTTTTTTTCTATTTTAGGCAAAAAGAAGAAATGGTACAAATGATGGGTGATAGACATTTTGGTCTTTAGTTTAGGTTAATATATCACGTACCATACGACGTCGTTTAGGGGTTGGGAATTTGTGTGTTTTAATACCTATGTTATTCATGTGAGAGGTCGTTTGCAGTTTGTATGGTTTATATTTTAGCCACTGAATAGAGTTGTGAAGTTTATAATTTTGAGCTTTAAGTTTTACCCCACTTATATTTCAATCACTATTTGTTCATTAATGCATTCTGGTTAAATCTTATATTAGCTGCTAATTTGCAATTTATTTCATTCTGGTCCTACATATTTATTATATGAAGAAATGGATCTATTAATGCTCTAAGTTCTTAATTTTAGCCTTGTTTACATTATGACCACAATTTAGGTTTAGTTTAAATTATTTTCAGGATCAACCCTTATTATTTCTGTTAAGTTATGATTTAGTCCTCATTTTAGGACATGGGTTTATAGAGTTCCTGTATTATTTCATTATTTTTATTTTAATCTCTGTTTTTTATTCTCATACATGGATGTGATGTTATTTCTTTATGGATATTTTAATTTAGTTGTAAATATTAGATACTAAGTGTATGATGTAGTATTATACGTATGTGCACTTTATTAAAATTGAAAATGCCCTAAATATTCAATATAACGATTCATTAATTTTCTCACTCGTATTCATTGTCAAGATCATTTGTCGTAGAATGAGCGTGAAAAGCACAACTTCATAGAAGTAGTGCGATTCAAGACGACATTCAAACGAAAGGTGAACTTGAAATAAATCTAGTTTATTTTGGTTAAAAAAGTAATAATTAAGTCATTCTTTTATGTTAGTTTAAATAATGGCAATGCATTTTTTTTAATAGTATGTTATGTTGATTTATGCAATTAGCAATATTTGATTTATATCGATTTGTGATTTTTCTTATAGCAATAAGGAGATGACATTCTTGTAAGAAGAAATAGATGGGATAGACTTTTCATAGGAGGATGTGCCAATTCCGTGATTTCTTCTCAAAATAAGGAATGTTCCCTAATAAATTTTGAATAAATTAATCAATGTTCAATAAAAGGATCATACTTTAATTTTCTATCTAAATTTATAGTTTCCTCTACCACAACAATATATAAGCGACTAGGTACCAATTTTGGGCTTTGGTGGTGTTTATTTTTCTCCACGCATAATCGACTCCCGAACTCTTTAAAATGAATCTTTAGTAAACGCATACAAATTTTTCTTTTAAATGTTTTTTAAAATTCGCTTCAAAGAAGTTTCTAGGTATTCGACCTACCCAAACCAAAGGTCGATGGAGACTTCAAATCAATTTAATCTAATTAATCTAAAAATGAATATTTTCAAAATAACTCGTCATTGAATTTTTCTTTTAAAATTAAACCTTTAAATAAAAAGAATGTTACGAAAAATATCTTTTAAATCCACCATTAGAAACAAAGAAAACATGTGAATCACCTTAAAATATAACATTTTTATTTATATTTCTATTTTCGCCTATTTCTTTCTTTTCATCATCCAAAGCTGATTACATAAATAAATTTGTTGGACAGTTGCATAATGCTTGAGTAGACATATATTCTCTTTTTTACAACGTTCTGCATAGTTCAGTAGAATAGTTTTGGAGATCACGTCTTCTAAAAAATCATGTTGATACAAATGTTAATAAAATATAATACATGTCATCACATGGATTACATACAAAGCAAAAACATGCTGAAATTACACCAGTACAAAATCAAGCATTGCATCAACCGATTACACATTACACATAAATTTTGGAGAATATCTTACATCAAATCATCAAAATTGTGCTCAACTCCGTAATAAAAAATTTAAAGGTAATTCAGTATTTTACAAAATAACAAAGATCTAGTACCCAAAAGGAGATAAAAACAAAATAATAAGAGTTCCATTATACTACGTTGTCAAATTTGCCACAAAATCATTTTATATTAGTAGAAAGTTCTTGGAATATTAAGACCTAAATGGATTGTCCCTAAAGACGAAAAAACGAGGTAGTCATTTTATTTTTATAATTCAAATTCTAACCACAATATAGTATTATTTTATTTATTTTAGGAATGGAACGGCTAGTCAAATCAAGGATTAATATGTCAATTAAGCATATTTTAAAATATATCATCGGCTCTATTTAATCAGTGAGTTTTTAACAAATTCTATCATCCCCTATTTTTTACAACATGAGTAACAAGAATTGCACCGGTAACTTCACAAGATCTCGGACTTAAATATTTCTATAACCAAAATGAAAAACAAACATGAAATATAAACACCATTTTGTTGGACCAGATAGACACATACCTAAATATACTAAAGTCACTAAAGCCCTTGGCAAGGAGCATTGTAGTGCACTAACTCTAAGGAGTGACATCAAAATCAATAGAGAAGACAATTTTGGGGGGAAGAAGCTTGATGGTCCCACCCATGAAACTGTGCATGTAGAATCTAAAGCACAAGAGGAATCATCTATTGAAGACAACAAAGATGATGGTTCGACTAGTGAACCTACCGATGAAAGGAAAAATATTACCATAGCAAAAGTTAGACACTCACCAACTGAAAAAACAGTTAGACACCCACACCCTTCACTCAGAGATTGAACAAACAAAATGAATACCTCCAGTTCAAGAAATTTACTGATATTCTGAACCAATTGTCTATCAATGTCCAATTTTTGGAGGCATGCATATGTGAAGTTTCTAAAGGATATGGTTACCAAGAAGAGGACGATTGAGCAGTATGAAATTGTTACTACAACAAATGAGTGCTTATCTGTGAAGAGCAGTTTGCCACCCAAAAGGAAGGATCCTTGTAGCTTTACTATTCCATGCTTAATAGGTTACAATTATGTGGGGAAAACTTTATGCGATCTTGAATCTAGTGTAAATCTAATGCCCAAATCAGTGTTTATGAAGCTTGGTATGAGATATGAAAAACCTACCAAGTTGATCTTGCAATTAGCAGACCGATCCCAAGTATGTCCTGAAGGGAGAATTGAAGATGTAGTGGTAAAGTGGACAAGGTTGTCTTCCCAGTTGACTTCTTTATTATTAATTATAAGGCTGATGAGAACACACCCATCATTTTGGGGTGACTGTTTCTAGCTACAGGGTGGATTTTAATTGATTCTGAAAATGGTGAATTCACCTTGAGAGTGGATGACCAAAAGGTGACTATTAATGTCCTCAACACTCTCAAGTATGCTGATGATTCTGAGGGGTGTTAACTCCTTCAAAATATGGACTCCATTGTGGAAGAAGAAGCTAAAGACTTTCATTGTAGTAATTTCTTACAACTTGATTACTACATGGAGCTTGATGATGAAGATGATAAGGAGCTTGAGAAATTTCCAAGGGAGTTGCAATAATCTAGCTTACTCATAGCAAGACCAGGTACGTAATTCAAACCCTTGGATTTCATTGAATATACCATTCTCGAACCCTCACGTGTGCACCCAACCAATTTAGAGTTAAAACCCTTACCTTCACTTCTTAAGTATGTTTATTTTGATTCTAATGAGACTTTTCCTGTGACTATTTCTAGTAATATTAAGCATGAGCAAGGTAGTTTGATTCATGTTTTAGGTCAATATAAGAAGGCTTTAGATTGGACAATTGTTGATTTGAATGGAATTGATAACCATATAGTTGATCATCTCTCTAGGGTAGAGAACAAGGCTAAATTAGAACTAGGGAATGAATTAGAAATTAAGGAGGATTGTCTGATGAGAAAATATTATTTGCCACGACAATTCTTTAGTATACTGACATTGTTAACTTTCTTGTTAGTGGAATTTTGTATCCTGATTTGAACAGCAAGAGAAAGAACAAGTTCAAGCACGATGTTTTCTACTATCATTGGGATTACCCCTAACTCTTTAAACAATGTGATGACCAAATGATTGGAAGTTGTGTCACCAAATCAGAACGAAAAGAGATCCTATAACAATGCAATTCAACTTCTTGTAGAGAACATTATGGAGGAGTAAAGACTATTGCAAAGGTCCTTATGGGTTATATTAGCCTACACACTTTATGGATGCCCAAGATTTTTATAAGTCTTGTGATAGATGATAAAGGACGAGGAACATTTCTAGAATAAACGACATGCCACTATGACATGTACTTATGGTGGAACTCTTAGATGTATGAGACATTTTGGTCTAACCAGTGCTCCGATCGTCCATGAAAAATTGTTATATCAATTCAGGATGCTTGAGAGCTTCCAACCCCCTCCTTTTTCTAATTTCAGCTATAATATTTTTATTTTACTGCTCATGTAGATAAATAAAAAAATTTGTTTTCTTTTTAGCTTAATATTTTATTATTTAATTCCATTTTATTACTTTATTATTTAGGTTTATTTTTTCAAACTTCATGTGAGAAAATCATTTAAAGATAGGAGATATTTTTGTTCTTCAGGGTTTTTTTCCATCCAACTATAATAAGGTAGTTGAAGAAACACACTCAAATCCCAAAACATTGGGCAAGAAGAAGAAACAAAAGTGGGGATATTTTTGAAATTCAAAACCTGCCATTCATAATTACATTTCAGGATCTCTCTCCGCCTTTTTCACTTTTCAATAACTACACCCCATTTCCCCACAACCTAGAAAAGGCAAGCGCAACCCCAATCAAATAACAAAAAAATAAGAACATTTTCATCTTTTATTTTTCCACTAACTTCTTTTATAATCAAACTTCTTCTTCTCTTACTTCCTTTATGAAAAAACTCAAATCCTAGCCACAATTCTTTTGTCTCCTACAAATAAACAAGAGGCAACTACTCATGAAGAAAGGCCAAATGATGCTACAATAAAACAAACTCCCAAACATGTTGACAAGGGCAACACCCCAATGGATGATGCACTCACTCATGAAGAAGACATATTCACTATCTGCACAAACGATGAGATTAATGATGATGTCACTCCCTATTGGCACTGTAACATCCCAAACTATAGGTTAGTGACTTAATTGTAAAATTTTAGAATTTGGTGATTTAGTAAAATAGTTAAATAGTTCAATGATTTATTTGGAAATATTTCCTGAAAGTTGTTAGTAATTATCAAAGGAATTAAAGGTAAAATGGTTATTTGATAGGAATGATATTTTTTCCCTTGATAAGAATGAATCACGTTGGGGGGAAGAGTTATCTGGAAACTCTCTTCTTCTTCTTCTTCTCTCTTCTTCCAGTGTGCCAAGCTAGAGCAAATGTGAGTTTTCTATTTAGTTGATTATTTGTTGATTTTAAGGCTGGGTTATGATCATTAGATGATAACTAAGCTTGAGGAAAGCTTAAGTTATCTTATAATCAAAATATGAAGAAGTTATGAAAGATTAAAGTGAAGGAGTTTCTAAACGAATTTCTTGAAATGAGTTGATAAGTTGAATTTGAATTTAAATTTAACTTGTCATCAGTCTAATTAAGAGATATGAAATGATAGAATTGAAATTAGAATATATTAAAAATTTGGGTATGATTATTGATTCCATATGAAAGATGGGATTTTGAGGTTTAAGATGAGATAAATTGATATAAATTGGTTTAAGTATGTGTATTTGAGTTAATAGTATGAAAGGGATGAAACAAGAAGAATTAAAGATGAAAATAGTGAATTTTCGTGCTTGAATAATGATTTCTGGGCAAAATTTACAGATTTCAATAGGGGTATCGATACCCTAGGCAGGGTATCGATACCTCAGTGAGGGGTGTACCGATACCCTATAGAGGGTACTGATACCTACTTTAAAAAAGAATGAAAATAGCATTTCTTTTAATTTAAGAAATGAGAGATTAGAGTATATCAATTAGGATACTAATGTGGATCCATGTATTATTATGTAGATATAGAACGTAAGCTTGTTCCGGAACAATCAAAGAATTAAGATCAAGCCAAAGCAAGCAAGGCTAAGGTGAGTGCATCTTATTTTATAGGATTATAAGGAAATTGGACTTGTGATAAGTCTATTTCCGATAGTTATAGTGTATGAAGTATTGATTATAAGGATGTGAATGACATGAAATGTATGTATAATTGATTATATAAGTTGATATGTTCTTGTATGTGATATGTGATTTGTGTGAGTATAAAAGATAAGTCATAGGATAAGATCTATGCGATATATGTAAATGAAAATATATGTTTATGAAGAGTCATAAGGGAACAAATAGAAGTCATGTGATCATGGAATATAAAACTATGGGAATAGTTTATCAATTAGGAAATTTGAATATAAAGTGATGATACGAACATATAAGATAAGTTATATGCTAGAGATCTATAGAGCTATATGAGAATACATGCTTACCTAATATATGTTAAGTTTCAAATAATATTGAAGTATATGAATATAGTATATGTGATATGCAATATGTGACAACAAAATATGACATACATGTTTACATGAACACCTGAGAAATTATATAAGCTATATGATATGATCTATGTGATTAAATACACATGTGAAATATGTTATATGAAATGAGATAGATGTTTACGCATACATGTGGTATGTGACAGAAGAGTGGAAACATGTGAATGTGAATCATATGGAAATGTTCTACGTGTAAGTGAACTATGTGCCTATATGAATATGTAAATTGTTATAAATGATAATGCTCATATTATATGATATGAGAGTTAGTGGTATAGTTGGCATGCCAAGAGTCGAGGGTTACCTATGTTCTTCGGGACATATGGACTGTTTACCTATGTTCTTTGGGACATATGGACTGATTACCTATGTTCTTCGGGACATATGGACTGATTATCTAGGTTTTTCGGGACATATGGACTGATTATCTAGGTTCTTCAGGACTTATGGACTGGTCCTTCGGGACATTTATACGAGCCGTGGTTACAACATATTTGTGCACAACCTCAATGCACTCACATATCTTTAGTTCCATAAGTGTACCATGGGCAAATAAAAGGAATAAATTGACTTTCATCTTCCATGATGTGAGATGTTATTATGTGTTAAATGCATGATTATATATGTTACATATTACCTATGTTCTTCGGGACATATGGACAGATTACATATGTTCTTTGGGACATATGGACAGGTTACCTATGTTCTTTGGGACATATGGACAGATTATTATATGACCTGTAGTGACAGCATATGTGTGCACAACTTCAAAGTACTCATATAACTTGAGTTCTCAATAATGTACATGTTTCTACAAAAGATATCAAAAGTATAAATGGACTAGTATATGGGCTTTTAAAAGAGATAGTATAAATACATGTATGTGATGTATATGCTTTGTTATATGAAATGTATTATATGATATGTTACAAAGGTTAAGTATACGATAACATGTTTTAAATGGGTTAATGATAATGATAGAGATCATGATAACATATTGATGTAGATAATTATGGTATTTATGCATGTATGCATTCTGTTATGAGAAATGTTTTATGGTTTATTATATGTTTTATATGCCTCACTAAGTCAACGAATTAGTGTGTGATTGTTTCACGCGTAGGTTCTGAGAAGAGGAAGAATAAAAGTTAAGCAAGACTGGTCAGTTTCTCCTTTCCAAATATTAGATCAGAAAATAAATGAATAGTTTGTATTTTATAATACTAATTGTGGTTGGCATGTAAATAAAGGTTTGAATCCGATATGTTCTAATATGTTTTGGTAAAATCATATGATCGAGTTTTGTAATGTTTTAAAACGTATATATGTAAATGGTAATCTTTATGGTGATGAAAGTTTAATTTTTATTAGTTTTATATAAGTGGACTGAAATTACTGTAGCAAGGGGTAGCAGGGTATCGATACCCCTGTAGCATTCTGGAAAATTTTAGCATTCGGTACTATTCACACTACTGTTCATTACTATTCACAGTATTGTTCGTACCGTATAGTACTATTCATAAAAACATTTCTTTCCTTAAATTTGAAATAACGAACATAATTCAGTGATATATTATCGTAGTTTTCTTAATATAAGTCCAAACATTTTGTTATTTTGTAAGAATATTGTTTTAAAAAGTCAATGTGACATCTCAGACTCGTATCCGGGTCGGGTACGGGTTGGGGGTGTTACAGGCACCACCACCAGCTTCAGTACATATTAAGAAATATCACCTTAAGTGCATTGATGGTCGTGTGTTGAACTCCCCACCCAAGGAGTCTAATGTGGAAACATCAATACTCACTGCCGAGACTGACCAACCTATTGCAGCCCTTCGAAAGAAATGCC